GGTACTTTGCCCCAAAATACCTGCTGGAAAATGTGAGGCGGGTTGTTTCTCATCTTCCTCACAAAGAAAAGGAGCCCCAGGCTGGGCGCAGAGCCAGCCACCAGCGCACAAGCTGGAGGAAATGTGTTTCTCACCGGCTTTTTGCCTCTCCGGGAGCAGGCTGGGTGGGGCGGGGGGGAGTGCTTTCTGCCGTGGCTTCTGCTGCATCAGCCAGCCCCTGTATGAGTTTAGGAAGGCATGGGCAGCCCATTGATGGGTTGGGGTTTTACATAGGCCAGGGGGGAGTCCCCCTGGGTGCTCCTTGCTGCTGCTGTGGGAGCCCCGGCCAGACACAGCTGCCCGGGATGGTTTTTCCCCTTGGGCCCGGGGCTGTCATAAGGAGAGAGGTGGAAAGAGAAGGAGTGTCCCCAGCAAGGTGGCAGGAACTGTCCCCTCTCTGAGGGGGGGGGACAGAGAGCTGTCACCGACCCCACAGACATGGGGTGCTCCTGCATAGTGAGCCCGTGGGGCTGGGATGCTCAAGGTTGTTCCCAGGCTATGTTGAACTGCACAGGGCAGTGGGACATCAGGGAATGTGTTCCTGGATCTGCTGAGACTGCCTCTACCCAGGGGGCTCAGCTCCTATCTCCCATCCCATCCCCTACCAGTCCCACCTGCCTCAAGCTAAGGATTCATGTCTGGGACCCCAGAACACCCATCCCCCCACCATCCCCACAACCTCCTTCTGTTGCCCAGGCATCAAGACCTGTCACATGGATGCTTCTGGGACTGTCACCAAAGGGGTCACCACCCCCCTTGCACTCCTGTTGCCCTACAGCATGATTTATGGGACATTTCCCCAACTTGCTCGCCCAGCAGATGCTGAGACCATGCAGGGCATTTCTCCTCATCTTTCTGCCTTTGTGAAGTGAAGGAGAACCGCATGCCGGTGTGTATGCATGAGCACATGTGTGTGCATTTGGGGTGTATGTTGAAAATTTGTGAGTTTAAAACAGAAGAAATTTGCAAAAAGTTTCAGTGCATATTTTCTGAGCTGTTCTGCAGGAACCTGGGAGAAAAGGAGAAGGGTGAGGAGCAGCTGAAAGGAGGACTCTCAGGTATCATCATAACCCTCACCCTTCCCACGTGGCTCAAAGTGAGGTTGTGTGGCTAAATCATCACTGCTTGGGGTGCAGGCACCTGGGGGACAGGGATACATCCCACATATGTACATGCATATGTGCATCCCTGACCATTTCTTCACCTCCAGCTCTGCCCCTACAGATGTAGATGCAGATGTAAAATGCACTGGGGGACATGGGGCAGCCTCTCCTGCTTTGTAGCAATATAAGCCATCTGCATCCTGAAGGCAAATTTTCCCCTAAATCACCATTTCCTCAAGATATGTGGGCTAGCAGATACAGAAGACAGCTGCCGGCTCCCTGGGGCTCTCCAGTCCTGGGTACAAGACCAGACTGACCTGCGTGCAGGAGAAATAAAGGCTCCTGTAGCCTGGGCAGCAGCAGGAAGCTGGCCTGCAACCCACTTTCCTCCTTTCCCTCTGCAGTGAGAGGGAAGGTGGGACCAGGCAGAGACCGCACCTAAAATTCCCCTTCCTCTGCAACCCTCCCTTTCCTCACCTCGCTCCCGGACACAGGCCAGGACACTGAGCCAGCTGGATCTTGGGAGCTTACTGTTGCACTTGCCCTCCCTTTTCCTTCTGTTTTTTCCTCTCCTGTCACTGCTACCCCAGAGGAAGAGAGGGAGAGTCCATCACTCACACGCTCCTCTTTGCATTAACCCACTCGAGCAATTCCACTCCTGATGTCTCTGTGAAACTCTCCAGCACTCTGACTGAGCCTGTGGGTGCTGTCTTTACATCATCATCTCCTGTGGATTACAACAGCTGGGTGAGAAGATAAAGTCTTTTCTCTCCACCTTCCTTTCTCATTTCTCCCTTTTCACTTTTCCTTCTGAAGCCAGAGTGGTTCCTAGCTATCGAGCATGATGCTGGTGGCAGCCCTGCGTGGCCTTCTGCTCCTCTGCCTGGTTGAGGAGGGCATCAGCAAAGTCAGAAGATACTACATCGCTGCAGTGGAAACCACCTGGGACTACATGCACAGCAACCTGCTCTCCGTGCTGCAAGCGCCAGCAGGGTAAAGCTCTTTCTATTGCTATGGGTGTTCTCCCACCCTGGTGTGCACAGCACTGTAAGCTGGGGTGCAGGCGGGTGCGTGGGGGCAACCTGGCAGCGTGGGTGCACTGAGCTGCTGGTACAACTGGGAATGGGTGTTTCTGTGCAATGAGTCACTAAATGCAACCCCTAGTAATGCACAGGTGGAATAAATCTGCAGAGAGAGATGCAGACCTGCTCTGCACTACTGCTTTGCACTGCTTTATCTTAATGCTCTTTGCCTGTGACCCTTTAAATTCTGTGCCTGGAGCCAACCTGCACTTTCCCTTCTGCTCTGCATCCTGGGAGCTTTGAGGAGATGTGAGGGAAGATGGGTCCTGTGCCTCACTGCCTGGGGGCTACACAGCGAGGTTGGCTATGCCCCCAACATAAATCAGAGCAGCAAAGGCTCTCCACTGTGTCTGCCCCTGGTAAAACCCAGTTTTAGTTATTTATTTATATCCTTGCCTACATTATGTTGCTGGGGCTGAAATTTTTCATTTAGGGAATGAAAATAATTTTTAGTGTCTGGGCAAAGAATGGTGTTTGTACACAGTGAAAAGAGGGAGAAAGGCATGGTAGTTTTGTCCAAATACTTTAGAGTAGGAAGGAAAAGTGGTGGTTGCATTGCTTATTCATCAGGATGGTGTTGTCTGAAGATACAGCTAGCTTGAACACACATGGCTGTGAATGGACCATTCTGAGCTCAGGATGAGAAGCAGAGCTGGACGGCCACATCCCTGTGGATCAAGCCATACCTCTTCCCTCTGACCTGCTGCCACAACCCCTTCCCTGGGCTCTGTGCTAGGGCGATGTCAGCCCATGGTCCCATCTCAGACCCACACTGGCTTGAGCAGCATGGAGCTGTGGTCACGCACTGTAAACCACCCTCTGGTGATGAGCCACGTCAGCCTGACTAGCTG